AAGAAAAGAAAAGAAAAGAAAAGAAAAGAAAAGAAAAGAAAAGAAAAGAAAAGAAAAGAAAAGAAAAGAAAAGAAAAGAAAAGAAAAGAAAAGAAAAGAAAAGAAAAGAAAAGAAGAGAGAAAATAAGGCATTATACAGTGTGGAAACCACTTATGGAATACAATTGTTTGTGTCCTTATTATAAAAAATAATCAAAAACTTTGGGACATGTTAACTTTTAAATTTAAATGTGAGCTTTTTAAACATAAGTTTAAATGTACAGGGTGATCCACGCAAATCTGGCATAGTCCATAATCCTTATTTTTAATGAAACACCCTGTATACTTTTGTTTTTAAAATACTTTTAAAAACGTGATTTCAATTAACTATATCATGTAGGGTCTATAATGAATAATACAAATGAAATTTTGAAATTAATCATTTATCACGTGTTATGCTATTATTTTAAATTAGCTAAATACAGACAATAAACTTCTACTCTAAGTGTCAGTACACTGTATATTGGGGAAAATTTCTGTTTAGTAACCGTGTTAACATTTTTTGTCGTGAATAAGTAAAAACTGTATAGATAGTCTGCTAATTAAACTAAATCGGTAAATAATGCGGATTGTTATCAATCAGTTGACATTCGGTTGACATTTTACATTAAAATAATAATTTCTTAATTAAAACTAATTTCTTGCAGACATAAAAATGAAATATTTAACTAAGGCCCACCGAATTGAGATTTTAATGATGATCGGTTACGGGGAGAATTGTAGAAGTCAAGTTGAAGTAGTAAACTTATTTAATCAGAGGTATCCTCAGTTGCCTAATATTTCACAAGGTACTGTGTCTAAAATTTATGCACAATTCAGAGAACTAAGATATGTCAAACCATTAAAAAGGAAATCGAACCTGTGTGAGTCACACAACTGTCCTAAGGTGTCTCCATGAAGAAATCTTCATCCATATAAATTGACATTTGTGCAGGAGCTAACAGAAGACGATCTGGATCGTAGAATGGATTTTCGCGAAAGAACGAGGGATAAAATTAACAAATGAAATAGCTCTTGGCACAATTCTTTTTTCTGATGAATCAAAATTTACATTGAACGGAGAGGTAAACTGACAAAACTGTAGATATTGGTCAGCGGAGAATCCTCATTGGATGCGTGAGACACACACTCAGTATCCTCAAAAGTTGAATGTTTGGGCAGGTATTATAGGAGATCATATTATTGGTCCTATATTTATAGATGATAATTTGACAGCGGAAAAATATTTAAGCATGCTAAGAGACGATGTTCTTCCTTAGTTGGCTAACTTATATCCCAATCCAATAGATCCGACCCTACCGCATGAAACTGTCTGGTTCCAGCAGGACGGTGCAACACCCCATTATGCTTTAATGGTGAGAAATTACTTGAATGAAATCTTCTTCAATAAGTGGATTTGATGAAGAGGACTAGTGAGCGGCCAGCTAAGTCGCCAGATCTTACGGCTTTGGATTTTTTTGTGGGGTTATCTCAAGAACAAAGTATATGCAACACAATCAACTATCATTGAAGACCTCAAAAAGTAAGGATAACTACAGAAATACGGAATATTTCACCTCAAACTTTAAACAAAGTTCGGAACGAGTTTTATAGGAGACTGTGTTATTGCCAACAACAAGGTGGAGAATATGTTAAGCATTTATTTTAATGTAATCCAATCAATTACCTCGGGTATTCTATGAATTCATTGTCTTGAAGAAACTACCTAATTTCAAAACCTTGAAGAAAATACCTAATTTCACCTTGTATTATTCATAATAGACCCTACATGATATAGTTCGTTGAAATCAGGTTGTTAAGGAGCGTTAAAAATATGAAAATACACAGGGTGTTTCATTTAAAATACAGATTATGCACTATGCCAGACTTGCTTTGATCACCCTGTACATTCAAATTTATGTCTAAAAAGCGTACATTTAAATTTAAAAGTTAAGTTATCTCAACATTTTTTAATATTTTTTAAAATAAGGACACAAACAATTTTATTCCATAAGTGGTTTCCACACGGTATATCTGTTAAAAACTAGCAATGTTTTTCTATTATTTTAGATTCGACTTCTGATTTAAATCATGAAGACCAACTTAGCGTTGTAGTAGCTAAGGTTTGTGTTATTAATAAATAAATCAAAGCAAATCGAAACTAGAGTATTTCTTAGGATTCGTTTTAATATCTATTATATTCGAAACGATAAGATTTAACCAACGTTTTATTAAATTTTTTTGAGAAACTTTAATTTTAAAACATTTGTTTAGGTTATATAAAAGGAAATGGCTTGAATTAAACCATATAGGTTTTTACGTGTAGCTCATAGCTTAAATTTAGTAATTAATGACCCGTCTTTAGAAATAAGTTTTTTGCTATTGTGTAGGAACATTACGTTTTTTTTTCTGCATCGAGTAAACGTTGGCAAGTATCTATTAATAGATAAAATCCCAACCTTGACACTAAAACTTCGTTCTAGTGCTAAGTGGGAAAGCAGAATAGATGCTACTTTCAAAGATTAAGTGGTTTAAATTGATTTGCTCCATTATTACCTACATGGTATAATGTATCAACAAAAACTATTATTGCAAGTAAAGTGATGCAGGAATGCAGGATTGCTTTTACATGCCATGTGCAGCTCATGGTTTAGGTTTAGCAATTAATGACTGACGCTGCAAAAGCCTCTTTAAAAATTACAAGTTTTTTTGCTATTGTACAGTTTTTTTTTCTATATCGACGAAACGTTGGCAAGAATTAAAAGATGAAATCCCAACTTTAACACTAAAACTTCTTTCTAGTACTAGATGGGAAAGCAGAATAGATGCCTTAAGGTAAAGATCAATAGATAGATGCCTTCTAGGATACAATTTAGCAAAAATATATGACACTTTATATGCACTTTATTCTGATTATAACAGAGACTCTGAAACTAGAAATATGACAAATTCATTACTTTTAAAGATCGTTTAAATTTATTTGCTCCATTATTACATCGTATGTGTTAACAAAAACTAATATTGCAAATAAAGTGATGCAAGAATCCGATGTTACACTACCTAATATTATTTCATTTTTGGAGCAGACCAAAACATATTTATCTAATAGAGCAAATGAAGGTTTTAACGATATTTTACAAGAGGTCAAAAAAATTGCCGAAAATGTCGATTATCGCTAGACCCTGAACGAAAAAGCATTTATTTACGATTGTACGAAAGGTTCGAAGAAATAAAGCAACAAGATATATTATTTAATTGTCTCAAGGATCTATATAATTTCCTTAAAACGGATAACTCAATTAGGCCTGCAAAATGTAAAGCTCTTGAAAATTTACGTGATCTTGATTGTACGTTAAGATTTATGTGATGAAATTGACATTTTTGTACCTCATATTACCCCTGAAATAAATGCACTAAATGTCATTAACTACCCATTTACCAAGAACTTCATCTATAAATTTACAAATTTAGTAATTGCCATACGAATTTTCTTATGGAACATTACTTTGACAGTAGCTAGTGACGAAAAAAGCTTTTTGAAACTAAAAATAATCAAAAATTATCTACCATCCACAATGGGATAAAAAAGGCTATTCATCATTAGTATTGAATAGGATATTTCATAAAATATAGATGTGTCTGATATAGTTAAAGCATTAGCCTTAAAAAGGCTAGAAAAGCAAAGTTTACTACATAAATTATTAGTAAATATATTAATATCCTCTCCTGTATTATTAATATACAAATATACAATTTTGTTTTTTTATTTAACATTGGTTATATAACAATACTGTATAACATAAACTTTTTGGGATAGTTGGGTTTGAAGAGGGCGGCCAAATTACTCTCGCACCCGGGTGACAGATACCCTAGGAACGACCCTGCTCACATAAGCAAGCATGAAGTACAAAAAACACTTAAAAAACTAATGAACAGAAAAGCTGCAGATAAAGATGAGATATCAAATAAATTATTGAAATATGGTGGAGAGACAATAACGAATCAATTAAAAACATTCATTATCAAGATTATAAGACACATTAAAATACCAAAGGAGAATGGAGGACAATTGAGCTAATCTTATTATTTAAAAAAGGTAATAAGAAATAACCAGAAAATGCAGAAGTATGCAGATACTTCTGCATTTTCTGGTTATTTCTTATTACCTACATGAAAATGCAGAAGTAATCAACTCATAAACCTAGCAGATGAGCAACAAGGTTTCCGCACGGGAAGGTCATGTACAGATGCAATATTTGTTATAAAACAGATTACAAAGAAAGCACTAGAATACAATAGAGCCGCATTCATATGTTTAATTGACTTGAAGGCATTGACAGAGTAACACTTAAAGATGTAATAAGTACATCTCTTTTATAATAAAGAGATCCTGCTGGATATTATAAAAACAAGTTCCCTCTACGTTAGCTGACAATAACAACAAAATCATTGTTAACGAGAACGCAATAAGAAGAGCATGGCAACTATATATAATAAGAGTTGTTTGACGATGACAACAATCATTATAAAATCAAAGAAAAAGGTAAACACGTTATAAAAAATGCCAAAATTAGGAAAGCTTGTAGTCCAGATAATACACCGACTGAATTGTTGAAACTAATAAATAAAAATAACATAAAAGTAGTAGGTAGTAAACCTTTATAATTCAATATATAACACTGGAGTGATCGACAGGCTAGGCTTGGTGAAATCTATTTTTATCGCAATACATAGAAAAACACAATGCTAGAAAGTGCTCAGAACATCAATTAATTAGCCTAATGAGCCGCGCTCATCAAGAATACCTTAGGCGCAAATGCGACAAAGATCTTGAAGAAACCAAATTTGGTTTTAGAAATGCTATGGGAGCTAGGGAGGCACTGTTTGCGCCAAATATACAATTACAAAATGCAGCGATATAAGAAAATATGTTTTGTACGCTTCGCCGATTTCAAAGGCATTTATAAATGCAGTCAACTTACTTATACTAGAAGAATTTCCAATCGTGTATAAACGCGTCTCCAAAACCTTCCTCCCTTTCTCTTCTAATGATCTAAGAACTGTTTCTAATTCGTCATTCTTATGATATTTGAATTCAATTGTACACTCAGCTGATAAAATTATACAAACTACGGCAACACTCAGAATCATTAACTTCATTATTGAACCGTCAAACGTCCTCTTTCGAACTTAACTACCTCCGAATTCACAACAAACTGGTAATCAATGCTTGTGGTTTGATAACTAGCAAAGTTATCGGATTTTTTCTTTATGTTTATAAGAATTCCTTGGTTAGGTAGAATTTAGTTGATTTTTTAGTGGACTTATCTAAACAAAGTGTGAAGGTAAAAAAAAATTGAAAAAACAGGATTGTACTGGTACAGTTAACAAAATTAAGATTATTTTAACAAAAAATTGCAGCTTTCAGCATAATATCGGTAGGACATCGTTTCATTTCTTACTAAGACTACCTTGATGGACGTTATATTATCGGACCTCAAATTTGACGACATCTTATTGTTTCCCAGGAGCTAGAAAAGAATCTAATGTGTCTTTAAAATGGTAAAATTGTTTTATCGTGAATCAAGAAATGAAAATTGACGGTAAGCGTATTCTTATGCAATAATTAACAATATTCCGAAGCATCGAGTCATAATGCAATTCTATTTTAACATGAAATTTATCAGTTTCCCCCATACCTAACTATACTTCACATGTCCTAACATTAGTTGTTATTTTCTCATACGTGTAGTTCGAATTTAAAATCATAAAAAGACGTAAAAAAAAAGAACTTTAAAATTTTATTATACAAATAAAGCATGAAATAGATTTTGACAACCCATTTTTTACAAAAATTAGCCTAAAATATATTATATAATTTAGCTTCTTCTTAAGTAACATACTAATTGACCATGTAGAATCGTATGTGTACCTTGGCACCAACGTAAATGCAAAATGGGAACAGGTCATAGAAATTAAGGCGAGAATAGAACGAGCTAGAGCAGCATTTAGCAATATGAAAAAGCTCCTCATAAGCAAGGATTTGTCTCTTCCCCTAAAACTACGTCTAGTTAAATGCTACATTTTTCCGATCTTGCTGTATGGCGTGGAGGCCTGGACGCTGACGGAGACGCTAACGAAAAAACTAGAAGCATTCGAAATGTGGGTGTACCGACACATTCTTCGTATATCCTGGGCCGAACATGTAACCAACATAGAGGTACTCCAAAGAATCGGAAAGGAGAAAGAAATCGTGAATACAATTAAACAAAGAAAGCTTGAATATCTAGGCCACATATTGAGACACTATAAGTACCGTCTGCTACAATTGATTGTCCAGGGAAACATAGACAGTAAGCGAGAGCCAGGCAGGAGAAGACACTCGTGGCTCCAAAATCTGCGGAAGTGATTCGGGCTCACATCCGTCGAACTATTCAGAAGCGCCGCAAACAAGATCAAAATTGCCATGTTAATAGCCAACGTTCGCAACGGACAGGGCACTTGAAGAAGAAGAAGAAGCTTCTTCTTCTTCGCGTGCCATGTCAGAATTATCTGACGTTAGCGATCACCATTGCGAAGATTTCTCGATCTTCTGCAATATGGAATAATTGTCCTGCATTTGGTATCTGAGTCTATTCACGAATGTGTTTTAACCAAGAAACTTATTTTCTTCCTACACCTCTACGGCCCTCTATTTTGCCTTTAAGGATCAGTTGAGAGCATTTTATATCGATTTCCCCTAACTATATGTAGTTTAGCTTAAGAACCCCTAGGTACCCCTTATAAAGTTAAAAATAATATACATAGATTAAACAAAAAAAATTGATACATAACTGAAACAAAAATGCTTTAACCTAATTTTTATCGACACGCATTAGATAAAGGAAAATATGAAATTTTTGTTTAAAGCATGAAATAACTCAACATTCATTTAAATGTTTCATCTGTCTCTCAAAACACAAATCGAAAAGCTCCTTTCAACGTCCATACTGGTTATCGGTGCGTACTTAAACTTTGTCACTAGTGACAAAGTTTAAGTATAGTTTAAGTAGCAGTATACTGCCGGATCCATATCTTCAAAGTGTTCTCCATTTAAAATTGAAAATATTTTCTTCATCTTGTGAAATAGGTATCTCTTCGTTATATCTTCAAAGTGTTTTCTCGGCAAAATGACATTTGCTATTTCTTCAAACATTTTATTGTTTCACCACACACTTCATTGTTGCGTTGGTTCTCTCTGTTTTTTGGTATGGTACTTCTTTGTTTTGGGTTTTGGCATCCTGTTATAGGCTTTTGCCTCTTCAGGATGTGGTTCTTGGGTTGTTGGTGTTTGGCTTCTGGTTCTTTGCTTCGTGGTCTACTGGTGGGTGTAGCCAGGGCAATCAGCGGAGAAAGGTAGTGGTCGGTTCTTTTCAGAATTGTTTTCTAAAAAATATATTAGTGATAGTTAGTGAATGTTAAATTAATATATGTACAGAATGCAATATTAATATATGTATAAATACATGCATTAATATGTTAAATAGTAAATGTGTTAAATGTGTTATCGCGACGCGTGAGGGCAGCTGCGGCTGTATCCTCAAAATAGACAGGTATCATTTGCAAGTGGGATCGGGAAACCGCAGAAAACCGATCCCCCCTGTCTAGGCAAGCTCGAAGTGAGCAATTTAGCTTGGAATGCGACGAAAATAGAGGGGAGTTGCCTCCTGTATGTCAATGTATTCATCAGGGAGTTCGTTACTGGCGAGTTCCAGTAGAATTGCGGGTAGGTGTGGGATTTTGGGTTTAGGATGTCTGGTGAATACATTGCCGCGGGAAGAGCAGACAGTTTTTAGGATGCATTGAGCTCTGAGGTTTTGGCTCCGGATAGTGCGTGTAGTATAACTTCTGCTCAGAGAGTGTAGTCTCTCATTTATGGGCTGGATATTAGATAGTTGATGAATGAGGGCTGAAGGGTAGTCGTTACGTTTGCCATTCACTCTACGCAGAATCCTCCGCTCTAGGCTAATAGGTTTTCTTTGACTGGTTTTGGTATTGTATTATAAATGTTTGATCGGTATTCAAAAATAGGTCTAATAAAAGTTTTGTAAGTGAAAATTAATGTTCTAGAGTGCGTGGCCCCGAAATTACATCTCAAACTATTGAGGAGACTCAATCTGCTCCTGGCCTTAGCACAGGCTGAGCTCAAGTCGGCCCTCCAGTTCAAAGTTTGTGTAAACTTCACACCGAGGTATTCGACCTGATCACGGAGTTGGAGTTGATCTCCCCATAGCGTGAGATAGTTTCTTTCGTTAAAGGAGGCCGCGCGTACGCTGTGTTTAGGGTGTCTGAAAAGAATCGTTTGAGTTTTGTTCGGATTCAGGGACACTCTCCATCGCCTGCACCAGTTTTCGACTAGTCTAAGGTGATTTTGAGCATTCCTGAGAACAGAATCAACGTTCGTTGCTGTAGTAACCAGAGCAGTATCATCTGCGTAAAGTAGAGTGGTGGTTCTGTTACGAGTAGTATTGGGGAAGTCGCTGTTGTATATTATGTAAAGTATGGGTGCCAGTACGGAGCCTTGAGGTACTCCGGCTGTTGGAGTAAAGGAATCGGAGAAATAACCACGTTCCTTAACATGGACCAGACGTTCAGAGACGTATGATTGGATTAGTCTGACGAAAGGAATTGGTAGTCCAATGTTCAATAGTTTCCTGATCAGTCCCACATGCCAGACTTGATCGAAGGCTTTTTGAACATCGAGGAAAATACCTAATGCGAGTTTGCTGTCGTTCAGACTTTGAGTGATGTGTGTGACAATCTCAGTCAATGCCGTATTAGTAGAGCACCCTTCTCTAAAGCCGAATTGAAAAGAGGGAATGATGTTGTGTTCGTTGGTGAAGTCAATGAGTCTTTCTTTTAGGATCCTCTCAAAGACTTTTGCTAAAACATTTGTGAGTGAAATCGGCCGATAAGAGTTAGGATCTGTGCGGGGTTTGCCCTTTTTAAGGAGCATAATTGTATTTGCTACTTTCCATTGAGAAGGGAAATAGCAGAGTTTGAGAGTGGCATTGACGATATTTGTTAAATAGAGGTAGACACTCGGAGGGAATTGTTTCACGCAGCTCCTGGCAATGTTGTCAGGACCCGGTGAATTCGATTTGCCGATATGACAAAAATTTTTGAAAGTTTGTTGATCTACAGGTGCCATGATGGGATGGTCATGCGGCACCTGAGGATCGAAAGGGGCGCCGAGTAGTCTGTTTACATCTCTTTCAGTCTTAGTCAGGAAGGCGTGGTCAAATCTAGGATTATTAGGTGTGATTAATGTGTTTTGTAAATGGTTTTTAAAGGCTTCGGCCTTTTGTTGATGTGTATTAATGATTTGATTGTTCACAATAATGTGAGATGGATTATTGGTTTTTTGTTTAGTTAGGCACTTGAATTTATGCCAGAACTTACCACCGTCACGGAAATCAAGACTAGAGGTGGCTGCCCGCCATTGTCTGACTTGCATCTCTTTCACCTGTAGTTTGATCACCGCTGACATGCGGTTATATTCTGCTTTGATAAGGGGATTTCGAGTGCGTTGAAACTGACGTAGGAGTCGTCTCTTGTGTTTGATATTATTGATTATGTATTGCGGTAAAGGAGGCCTATTAGGGTTGATAACCTTATTAGGGACTGATATATCAATTGCTTGATTTATCAGATTTGAGATGGCCGTGATACCTAAATCGATATCATCTGTGTGTGCTAAGTTGCCTAACTCAGGAATATTATTTGACAGAAAGGCTCTGTATCGGTCCCAGTCAGCGTGTCTATAGTCTCTTATTACTTTGGGTGGTGCAGGAGGGGTGGGTGTAAATATCTGTTCTTTAACCAGTAGAGGTAAGTGATCCGACGTGATGGAGTCACCGAGAAAGCATTCGTCACCTAACAGATCGATCACATCATACGTACATACAATATGATCGACTATCGACATGCCCTGGTGACCCACAAAAGTCGGCGCACGATTACGGATACGATGAATAGGGAGATTAATGAGCATATCCGAGAAGTCGTTACCTGCATTATTTGTGGCGGTGTCGCCAAATTGAACGTGTCTGGCGTTGAAATCGCCGAGAATAATAGCCTTATTGAGGCTGGAGACATAATCGAACAAAATCTCGGACATG